CCTCCTTTTATCTCAGAGGAGCAGGTCTCCCTCTCAGGCGTTCCCAGTTCTGCTTCCTCTCAGTTTTTCTGGGAAAACTCAGAGGAATTCTTCGTCTCTTTTGCAGTGGTCTTCATCGCTGGGAGCAGTTTGTACAAAACGGTTCCTCCTCAGGGAAACGTCCTGCTGGAGGTCTGCAACTGCATTGGTGTGAGTCCCCTCTGGCTTTTTTACGTCTATTTATTTTTGTACTTAACTTTTATTTACATTTCTACAGCTTACATAGACGTATACACACAAACCCACATTTAATCTTCTGCTCTTCCCTGAGGATATATACTGTGTATATATATATATATATACTTAAAGCCACTTTAAAAGTTTATGCATCAGGTTAAACTTACAGGTAAAGTAGTTTTATGATTAAACAGGAGGAACATACAAACAAAGCTACAGGTGGTAAATTAATAAGCAATGGAAAAGAAGATAAATGAGTGAAATAAAATGTAAAAAATGATAAATAAATTAATAAATAAAAATAAGACGCAAATATAAGATATATTAAAAATAAATAAATAGATAGGAATAATTTAAAAAATAGAAATTAAAAGGGTTTCTGTCCACTTTTTTTTATTTTACATTTCTTATTTTTTAAGTCAGTTACATCTAACAACTTTGAACAAACTTTGGAAGATAGAGTTATATGAAGAAGCAAAAAATAAAGAAATAAAATGCCCACCAGGTGGTTTTTAAGTAAAGTTTGGGAAATACATTAATCATTACATACAACAAAACATTCAAATAAAATAAGATAAATAACAGCATTGCATGGTCACCTTATATTCATTTAATTAAAAAAAAAAAATTATATATAATTTTTTATTTTATTTATTTATTTTTTTTCACCTTTTGGTCACCTTTTAGGGAATATGTTTGTTTTTTTAATTCGGAGGGAGAAGCTGACTCTTTCCATGAGGTGTTTGGCTTTTTTTTAATAGAAAATTCTCCATGTTTTTCCCTTTTTTCGCAGTTTGCCATCAAGCGGCGGTGGAGGGGTTCGAAGTTCGGCCCGGAGAGAAAACACTGGCTGGACTGGGCCGAGGAAAAGTACCCGGTGAGGTTCCCGGAGTAGAACCACTTAAGTACTGTACTTAAGTACCAAAATGCTGTATCTGGACTTTATTGGAGTATATATATTTTTTCCCTACTTTTACTTTTACTCCACTACATATTTTTGATTAACTCATTGACTGCCAGAGTTTTTGGAGAATTTTGACTGATTTTTCAAGAGCCACAGAATAGTTTGTGCTATGACTATGTAAACACCGAACACACCAAAAGAAAGAGTAGACTCTCTTCTTTCATCAGGAAAATATATTTTTAAAGGCCAAGAAATCATGGCCTTTAAAAATTCCCCATCTAATCTGAAGAAGCATATTAAGATAAGTTAAAAAAAATACAAAAATATAAGCTAGTAAATAAGCGGTAGTTCAGTTTTTCCTGTTCACTCAGGACGTAGCAGCTAACGTTAGCTAAAGCTAACTTAGCTGGCTAGCTGTATGATAACGTTAGCTAAAGCTAACCTAGCTGGCTAGCTGTGTGATAACGTTAGCTAAAGCTAACCTAGCTGGCTAGCTGTATGATAACGTTAGCTAAAGCTAACCTAGCTGGCTAGCTGTATGCTACATGCTAGCATAAAGGCTCAGCTCAGGATTCTGACACTGGAATAATAAATAATAGTAGATGTAGTGCTGTTGATTGCTAATGCAAATGTAGTTTTCTGTTTTTTGCTTTCACACATTTGAAATAATATAAACAACATCTATCAGACTTTTGACTGCCTTTTTTTTAATATACACAGTACTTGTACTTTTACTTATACTTGTACTTTCGATACTTGAGTAGCAATTTTTGAAATACTTTTACTTGCAATACTTAAGGACAAAAAAATGAAGTACTTCCACTTAAGTATAGAGTTGAAAGGACACTTCTACTTTTACTCAAGTCAATTATTTTACATAGTACTTGTACTTCTACTCCAGTACTTTATACTTCCTGACGGTTTGTGTGTTTGTGCAGAAGCGTCTGATTCAGGAGGTGAAGATGGTCCTGAGGGTCCTGGTCCTCTACATCCCTCTCCCCATGTTCTGGGCTCTGTTCGACCAGCAGGTGAGTTTATCCAA